TATTGACTAAGGGATTGGGTCAAGATCAACATCTACATCTGTTAAGCAAGCTTGGTGTGCTTAACTTTCTCCACCCCACAGCTTGAGGGGGAGTGTTGAAATAATGGTTGGAAAATAAATAACAGTTTCGCTTTTTACTGATTCATTGAGTTAGTTAGTCTACTGTTGAAGTTACTGTTACATTGAGTCAGTTAGAAAAGTTGTTACTGTGATGAGGCTGAGTTAGTTAGAAGATTCTAGAAGCTGCTAGATGATTGTATAAGCCTATATATATAGTGTACGTGATGAAGAAAATTAATAAGATCATTCATTTTTCTCTTCTTCTCAAAGTTCTCCAGTTCAATTACTTTTCTCAGCATGTTTTCATAATTTGCTTCCTAAAATTAAGGTACATAGATCAACAAAGGAGTAACTTAAGGTGTATTCGGTACAAAATGATTTTAAAATAATCTTTTTTGTATACATACCGAACGCAAAAGAATAAGTAAGAAAACTGATAAATGGAGTAAAACGTTATACGTTCCTACTGACACGCATTTGTTGAGACTTTATTGATGAAGGTACATATGTGACATAAAAACCAAGTTGAATTATACACTTCTACATGATTTCATGGACCATGGTGAACATAAAAAATGTTAAAACTTGAAATTACATAGTTACCTAAGGTATGTATGAAATTCAATTGTTATTATGGAAGGCTTCAGAAACAATAAACCTGCGGTTCGCCCAAAGTTCCAACTGTTTGGAAGAGGTGATGAAGTCACTTCAATTCATCCAAAACTGCTTCTTCTTATGCCAATTTGCTGCTGTGACATCTCCACTTCAGGTAAATTATTGACAAAAATGAACCAAAATACCTAATTGATTGTTGAGAGTGCTCAACGTTATAACAATATTCACCTCTGAGCTTCAAAACTTTCAATGGTCCATATACGTCCCAAAATAATTAGATTCTTAAACCCCAATTTTAAAGCTTAAGTGAAAAAATAAAAATTCTTCATTAATGCGGAGAAGTAAAATGAAGAACAAAGAGAGGAAAAAGAAGAGCATAACAAATAGCCAGCGGGGTAGCAGAGGAAGAAGGGAAGAAAATAAGAACTCAAATGAGTTGAAAAACCGTTTTCATACTCCGCAACTCAGGTCGCAAAGTGGTGCCTATGGATCAAAATTGGTGATGCAGCCAGAATGAGCAACGGTGTATTCAGTAAAGGTGGTTGTTTGTTCCAACAAAGTGGTTAGTTATACTGAATAAGTTTGAAAATAATATAAGAAAATCAACTTACATACCCTCCAGCTTCATGTTTGATAAGTTTGTTCTTCTGTACGTGATAGTTTATTTCTTCGCAAGCTTTTTGTCGCTAAGTATCTGCGTTCCAAATACTAAATTTATTGTTGATTCCACTAACTGCAAACAATAATGAATTTCAATAATTATTTGTAACATCACAACCAACAATACTAAAGCATATAAAAATTCACATTCTTGAAGAACTCTCAAAAGATGTCTATTGCACAATACATTGCAAATCTCCAAGTTAAAATCTCAGATAGATAAGGTAAAGGAACTGCAAATTTAATAAACCAAAACCCCCAAAAATTGTCGGATAAAACAAATTAAAGAAGGAATGCAAAATAAAATCTCTAAAGTAGAGTTAGGGAACAAAAATAATGGAAAACACCATTGTAGAGTATGCTTACCTGAGAACAAATTAAAGAAGGATGGCAAAATAAAGTCGCTCAAGCAGAGTTAGGTAACATAACTGAAAACACCATTGTAAAGTATGCTTACCTGAGGTAGTAGGCAGTTGTAAACTCCATTGAATTGAGAACAAGAACAGATGTAGCGTTTGGAGACGAAGGTGTTACATAGTACAGAAACGGAATTGGAGAGGAAGAGGAGAGAATAGAGCAGGTGTTTGGCCGTGCTGCAAGTGCACATGGAAGTGAATGCTGAAATGTCCCAAATGCCCTTCGAATTCAATGTTATTTTCAAGGAAGCACACCCGTTGACGGAGAGGTGTGTGTTATTCCCCTTTCTTATATAGTATATACTCCTAATATATATGTTATATGATGAATTTCTACGCTCATATTATTATAGGTAGTGAACCTTTTGAAGGATTTTGAGATGGTTAGAATTTGTGAAAGGAAACACCAAGGGTTGTGGTGGAGTGATAAGTACTCTTTCATTTTTAATCAAGAGGTCATGGGTTCGAGCCCCCTTGATTATGGAATCGTCTTTGTTAGGGAGCACTTTACCCTAAATGTGGGACTTTTCCGCGCGAATTCGAATTTAGTCGAACTCCAATGTGGATACCGGACACTGGGTGAGAAAAAAAAAGAATTTGTGAAAGGAAATTTATTAGTTGTACTTTATCCTTTCCAATTCTTACTAGTGACATATATAATTTTCATATGTTTGGAATTAAATTTTAAAACTATGAGTTCCTAGCAAAATGGAAATAGCACAAGCAGGTAGGGGTAAGATTTTTGTATACATCAATATATTTATTAGGGCAAATTATAGAAATCACATACTTTTAAGGTAAAATTACAATCTATCCCTTAAAAGTTTATAATTACAGAAATCCATCAAACGGATACAATAATATAAGCGCTGATACATTAATCTGATGCGCGAGATACATTAATCGTTAAGTAAGATTACATTTTATACATGATACACTAATCTGATGCGCGAGATACACTAATCTGATGCGCGAGATACACTAATCTGATGCGCGAGATACACTAATCTGATGCGCGAGATACACTAATCTGATGCGCGAGATACACTAATCTGATGCGCGAGATACACTAATCTGATGCGCGAGATACACTAATCTGATGCGCGAGATACACTAATCTGATGCGCGAGATACACTAATCTGATGCGCGAGATACACTAATCTGATGCGCGAGATACACTAATCTGATGCGCGAGATACACTAATCTGATGCGCGAGATACACTAATCTGATGCGCGAGATACACTAATCTGATGCGCGAGATACACTAATCTGATGCGCGAGATACACTAATCTGATGCGCGAGATACACTAATCTGATGCGCGAGATACACTAATCTGATGCGCGAGATACACTAATCTGATGCGCGAGATACACTAATCTGATGCGCGAGATACACTAATCTGATGCGCGAGATACACTAATCTGATGCGCGAGATACACTAATCTGATGCGTGAAAATGAGTCGATTTTGGAGATTTGTAAACCTTATAGGGGATAATGGTAATAAATAAACTAAAAGGTGGGATTTCTGTAATTAATCCTATTTAAATTTCACTTGCAAAACTACATTGAATATGTTGTTGTTATTGTTGATTTCGTACCAAAATATTTTGGTTTTGGACCATTTTCTCAAATTCTGTGAATACTATTGGCATTGAGAATTTATATAGTTGTGTAACAATTCGGTTCCTCTTTTTGAGTATTGTGTTTTGAACTTGTATATGACTTATTGGTCCATATGGTTCGAGTTGATAAAATCAAACATTTAATATCAAGGACATTATATATTGAGTATAGTTTAATGATTTGGAATAAATAGACCACACTAATAAATTTTGATTTGTTAATCATAACTCTCAATTCATTATTTTGATATGATCTTATATATATAAAATAAGATTCATTCATTGTCAAAGACATGAAGAAGCAGATGAACAATCAACAATGATACATTCACTGAAATAAAGTGAAAACAAAAGGATATATACATCCAATAACATGCATAAATGGTACATATATCATAAGTCTATTTCTGATACATACAAGGTGCATACACTAAAAAACTACAAGTGTATGTTGCATCTATATAAAGTATATATATGTTGTGTGCATATTTGTTGTATTTGTGGTGTTTTGTGGTGATGATTGTAAAGTATATTATATGTACTGATACAATTCATACAAAACGATAATACAATGTATTTTACTTGCGCATAACTATAATGTATCCAATGATATTGTTTGTGTTAATATAACTAGATTGAACGAATTGATACAATGTATCTAGCGAAATATTATGTGTTGATACAATCAAATTGAACGGACTGATAGAACTCCAAAACAGTCACTAGTGAACAGATTCAACTTCAAACCAGTAGTTACCAATCATAATTAGACAACTTTTAGCTACTAATAATAATTATGCTCCAAACAAAATTTTACCCAATTACAAAACATCCTTACCATATTTATTAAGTCTCCCTATAGTTTGAAATTATTATATTTTGTTTCACTAATAAATAATTTTATACCAAAATTCAAGTCAGATACACCTAGATACATATTTTTTTACTACCAGATACACTGAAATAGGAAGAGAGGTGAACGAGAATAGGAGAAAGGCGAGCGAGATTTGTCTACATATTCCAGACACGCGAACGAGATAGTAGAGTGGCGAGCGATATTTGTCTATATATCCCAAATATACATATAAATTCACTTGGATATAGTGTATCTAGAACAAATTACACATAATTTTAACCTCATATATCCCAAAATACATGTATCTGAACGTATCTAAACATACCAAAATCTGGTAAGCTTCGTAATGTTATAAACTAGTGTATATCTAAGTAATTATCTCCTAAACTAATGAAATTTTTGTAAGTTTACCATTTTAAAAATCAAATGCAATTTAAGCTACTAAGACACAAACCAAATAAAGGCCCATTTCCAAAATTTTATAGACTTATTATACAAAAATGGTTTTAAAGTTAATTTATGAGCCCAACTAGACCCAAACAAATCATTTGTTGGATATGAAATGTAAAGTGGACAATTTATAATCCACCAATAGAAAATAGAAACAATTGAAAAAAGGCTATTATCCAAATGTGTGGCTCTACTAGTTACTTGCCTTATCTAGTCATTGAGTGACTCTCATCATCTTTCTAGTAATCTATTTTTTTTCTACATTACAAGAATAACATCCATCCACTTCCTCTCTTCTCAACACACACATTAACATGGCTTCTTCCACTCTTTCTCATGTAATTCCTTCTCAGGTAATGCACAGAGTTAGCTAGGGTAATAAATATCGAAAAATTATGTTGTATATATATTATTAAAAATTGCTTGTTATGTGTATATAGTTTTTAGTGAAAATTCTGACTCAGTAACTGTAACAGTTTTTTGTTATAATTTTCAGCTATGCTCAAGCAAAAGTGGCGTTTCATCGGTTTCACAAGCGTTGCTTGTGAAGCCGATGAAGATTAATGGTCATGGAATGGGAAAGGATAAGAGGATGAAAGTGAAATGTATGGCAGCTAGCATTCCAGCAGATGATAGAGTGCCTGATATGGAAAAAAGGAATCTCATGAATTTGCTTTTATTGGGTGCACTTGCTTTACCAACTGGTGGAATGCTTGTACCTTATGCTACTTTCTTTGCACCTCCTGGGTTAGTTCTTTCTTCCTTTCCTCATATTGATGTATTAATTTCTGTATAAGTTATACAACGTTTGATAGCTAATTAAGAAGTAAGTTATGCGAGGTAGAAAATAGAATAGCTATAACTATGTAATTAATATCTACGTAATTTTAACCAGTTACTTGAACGAGTATTACAAGTGATGTGGGCATATAAATGTTTTGCATTCTTCCGCAGATTTGAGCAACTGGGGTAAAGTTTGGATGGGTTTATCGCTTATAAGCCAAATGCCATAAGCTAACTTATGACTTATTTTGGCTTAAAAACAACGGCTTAAGATCACTTTTTAATCTTATCCAAATACTTCAAAAGTGTTTAAAAGCACCTAAAATAAGTCAATCCAAATAGGCACTATAGCTATGTTACTTTTTATTCAATTCTAAGTCGATACGGACATATAGACAAATGTAATGCCATGGAAACTTGATGTGTTAACAATTCCTTTGTAACTCACAAAAGATAAAAGAAGAAACAGGGTGTATGCTATTGCTTTTGTATATCACTAGACGGACTTGATCAATCTATCTGTCTGTCTATCTATCTATCTATCTATCTATCTCATATGAGGCATTGTTGTTACGTTTGTGTAACTAACCATGAATCGTGATTTGTCGTTTTATTTGGAGTTGATCAACAGATCAGGAGGTGGTAGTAGTGGCACCATTGCCAAAGATGCTAATGGCAATGATGTTGTTGTAACTGAATGGCTCAAAACTCATTCACCTGGAACTCGAACCCTCACACAAGGACTAAAGGTACTCGTACATTTTCGTTCAGTGTCATAATTTCTTCGTAAATTCAGTGTTAACTTGATGATATTTTAGGGAGATCCTACTTACCTTGTTGTGGAGAACGATGGAACACTCGCGACCTATGGTATCAATGCCGTGTGCACTCACCTTGGTTGTGTTGTGCCGTGGAATACTGCTGAGAACAAGTTCATTTGCCCTTGCCATGGATCTCAATACAACAATCAAGGAAAAGTTGTTAGAGGACCTGCTCCTTTGGTAAGTTTAAAACCCCTGTTTTAAATGCTCTAGTAGTTGTCTTTATATTTTTTCTTATCAATCAGCCTTTTGCCTTTTGGCTTCGAGGGGAATTTAGGGCGGCTTCTGTCGGTTCAACTGAACACATTCTAGCTCAAACAATTTATAAGAATATATATATTAAGATCATGCTCATTCTAAATTCACTGATTTTGGTTGGTTAGAGACAATATTTATAATGACACATGCTATGTTTACAACCTCACAAATAGGGCGAATCTAGGATCTAAACTTTACAAGTTCAACCTTTAGAAAGGTTTTAATCATTGAATTCATGTATTTTTATAGTTGTATGTTCATATCTACTTGTTTGCAACAAATTTTAAATATATGAAAAATAAATTAATCACAAACAAGATCGGAGGAAACAAGAATATTATTGATAACGTTATATTATTGATGAAACGTTATCGGTGCAATTTTGTTTGCGCATTTCTCAAATAAAGGATGATAGAATATGTGAATCTTCTTAAAGTATTTGATTATCAAGAAGAATGACATATTTTGATCACTTCATGAATATTCCAAGAGTTGACGGAATATTCGAGATGCCACTTTATATAGACATAAGCTAGGGTTTAGGGTAGAGTAGCCTCAAAGAATCCTAACTGGAATCGAATACATCTTGTAGAGTTCCAATTAGAATTGAACAAGTGAGTTTCACAAAATTTCAATGTCTACCCTACTCTCTTCTTACTATTTTTATGGATATTTACACATAAATTTATGTTTCGACTCGAAAGTACTAGGTTCAGATGGACTCGACACTGATACTAACATTGTGTTTTTTTTTGTTGGCACAGTCCTTGGCATTGGCTCATGCAGACATTGATGATGGGAAGGTGGTGTTTGTTCCATGGGTTGAAACAGACTTCAGAACTGGTGATGCTCCATGGTGGGCTTAGAAATCCCATCTAACTTTTATTATTATTAGTATATATATTCTCTTGTATCTTTTGTTACATAGAAGCTTATTCCCCTTTTTATAAAGGAAAAAAATGTAACTATTGAAACATTACCCTTGCAGTCCCAAAATAACATTTCTCATTTGGGATACAGTTCTTTTCTGTAATTGTTTATCATCATTTTCATTTTATAACGATGGTGTCTGGATCAATTTATACGCATAGCAATTAATTTTTATTAGATATTTACTACCTTTCTCCCGTTTAGATATTGAATATCTTAGCTCACCAAAGCTTTTGAGTAGATGGGAAGAAATTTCTTAATATATGTATTTTTTTTTTTTTGTATTTATTAAGATTTAAACGACTTTATGATTTTCCCCACTATACGATCACACTATGTCATATCCTTGAGGGTTTGTTTATCATTTTATTTACATTACTCCACTTTCATTAAGAGTAAATATACAAACATAATAACTACTTCTTTAGATGGTTGTTATCTATGGTTTTATAATATGTCGTATTATATATATATTACATTGCTATATTTTAATAAATTTAACATTTGAATCGATTGTATAGTTTTCTATCATCGCATAATGTCATGTACTTGCAAAGTGAAGAATAAGCTTACAATGGTACCAAAAAGAAGGTTACAATGTAAAACTTTTAGGATGAAGGGTAAGAAAACAAGAATATTTTAAGTAATTGTGCAATTACACCAAATCAATAGTTACACAAAATAACACTTTTAGTCATTCCATAACAAAAAACAATACAATAAAATGTAAGTACCGATAAAAACAAACATTATATTTAAAATAACAATATGATAACAACCATCAAAACAAGTTGGAAGTACAAAACACGATATTATGAAAGAAAAGATAGAAAAGTAAAGAGAATCAGCTCAATTTGGACAATTGGTCACTGATTTTGCTGCTTGAATTTTTCTCAATCTGATGGCAGCAAAGACATAAATCTTATTGCCCATGTTTTCCAGGCACCTCATATATGCATATCTCCATGACTTTTTCAACATTAGAGTAACCCAAAATAACAAGAAACCTGTATTGAATCCAATTCCCATGCTTATGTAGAACGAAAATTCCTCGAGCCAGTTGTTGTTTTCTCCCTGCTCATGAGCCTCCAGCTGATTGTTGTTATTACTACTACAGTCAATCATGTCCTCATGTAAATTATCCGAGCAGACTCGTGAGAGTGGGGCTCCGCACAAGTTTGGATTTCCAACATAAGAACTATTCTCAAAGGTATCGAATTGTTTTCCATGTGGAACTTTTCCTGTCAAATTATTGAAAGAAAAATTCACAACCTCAAGATACGAAAGTTGTATGATATCGGGAGGAAATGTACATGACAGCTTATTCCTGGAAAGTTCAAGATATTCCAAATACTGCATTTTGTGAATGTAACGTGGAATTGCTCCTGTGAAATGATTCCGTGATAAATTCAATCCTTTCAGTGCAGTAAGGCTGGTGATTTCCTCGGGAATTTCCCCTGATAAATGGTTGTCTGATAGATCAATTACTATATAGAACCAGCGAAAAAAGATGTCGTAACTGTTTCCCTTAAAAACGAGCATTCCATGAATCCTGTAATCTGCATAGGGTCCATGAGTAAAGGAAGGGGCCTCCTCTTCTCCGGACATGGTGCGGAGATTACCAACACACCTTGGAATGACTCCTGATAGTGCGTTTGAACTAAGGTGCAAAAAATACAAGTATTTAAGCTGGCAAATCTCCCTGGGAATAATTCCGTCAAATCTGTTTCTGCTTAATTTAAGAATCTCTAGAGTACTTAAACTCTCCCCTAACCAAATTGGTATCTTTCCAGATAAACTATTTTCAGAAACATCAAGAAATTTTTAGTCCACTTACGTTCTCCAATGATGAAGGCAGATTTTTGGAGAAACTGTTGTTTTGCAATTGCAGAAAGAAGAGATTAGCAAGCTCTCCGATGGAATGAGGTATCTCCCCTGATAGATCATTATGGCCTAAATTCAATCCTTGCAGATTCTTCCCATATCTCCAACAGTCTAAAAGTTGTCCTGATAGAGAATTTGAGGATAGGTCTAGAAGACTCAGAGAGTTATTCATGACAAGTGATTCACATACAGGGGCGATAGTACCGTTAAAGGAGTTTCTTGCCAAAATCAGTGTCATCATATTGGGTGAAAAATGAGGCAAAGGACCATGAAAATTGTTGTCACTCAGGTCCAATTTTGTAAGATGAACTCTATCTGTAAATTCAGGGACTTCTCCTCGGAAATAGTTTTGCGAAAGGTCTATGTGATAAACCTTGGCAGAAAAAATCCAGAACCAATCAGGCACTTCTCCTGAGATGTTAACGTGAGAGATATCAATAAATGACAACTCCTTTTGTGTCTGAATCCACTGAGGAAATTGTGCACCAAGTCCGCAAGACTGCAGGCTTATAAAGTCAAGTTGAAAACGAGGCATCCATGTTGCGCTTACATTGAGGATAAGTGAGTTGGATGACAAGTCTAACACTCTCAAATCAGTTAAATTCAAGAAATGTTCTGTAATCGAGTCATTGAAAGAGTTCCGAGCAACATTGAGGACAACTAATTTCTTAAGTTGTGTGATGCTTCTTGCTAAAGGACCTTCCATTTGATTATCAGAAATATCCAAGTATTTCAGCTTTGATGGCAGGGTTGGTGGTAAATAGCCCGTAAACGAGTTCCTTGAGAGATTAAGAAAAGAAAGTGAACTCATTTTCTCAAAGGAATGTGAAAGATTGCCTCGGAGAGAGTTCTCGGAAAGATCAAGAACTCTAATTGAACTCATGTTGCCAAAGGCATTTGGAAGTGAACCGTTCAGCTGACTTCTCGAAAGATTAAGATAAACAAGATTATGGCATGTGCTGAACAACCAGCTAGGAATCCTAGTATTAAAATAGTTTGATGAAAGATCAAGAATCCGAAGGGATGTGAAATTCACAAAACTCGGAAGCAATTCAGGAAATGTAGTAAGCTGACAAGCAGATAAACGTAATTCTGAAAGACAACTTAACATACTGATGTCATGTAGCCAGTTTTCCGCGCTTCTCATGTTAACACCACTCAAATCAAGAATCTTCATAGAGACGAGAGGCTGAATCCACTTAAGGCTATTCACACGGAGTGAATAATAACCGCGACAGATTGCCAAGATTCTCAGGAATTTTGTAATGACCCTCTTGGTCATTTCTGTGTCTTGCCTTCTGTGTGTCGTTTAGAGCATTCCTGTATCGACCCCAAGTCATTTATGACTTGCTGGGACTGACAGTTCGGTCACCTGGTCGTTCGTTTGGTCTTGGTGTGAGTTTTTGTGTTTTGGAGCTTATGAACCTTGAACGATCATTTTCGATCAAAAGTTCAAGAAGATGACATCGGAATCCAATTCTGACGATTCCATCAGCTCCGGAAGGGTCATTTTAGGCTAGTAGCATGGTCGACATGACTCTCGAGGTTTTCAGTGTGAGTCGGTGCGATTAGGCGTTTTAACTTTAAGTTTAAGCCTAAGTTTGACTTTGGTCAACATTCTGAGTAAACGCGCTCGGATGAGAATTCCATCAG